TTTTCCCTAGGAACAATCTTCCAATATTAGTGAGGAATGTTGGTTTTATGGCATTTTCCGGCAGGATAAAATTGCTTCTTTATTTTTAATCATGAAATTCCCACTAAACAATAAGAGAATAAAGAAATACTGTACGAATGCAGCTGGGAATATTTCTTGTGGTTTTTGAGAAAGAAAGTTTATGTCTGACCTGTCAGACTAGAATAGATAGTTTAAGGTTAGATAAACAGACATGCATATACACGCATGTGGATGCATGCCCATGTGTACACACACACACACACACACACACACACACACACACACACACACACACACATAAAGAAGCAACCAAAAAGAACAGTGTACTCCAAAAAAAGCATCTCAAAAACTAGCACCCTGTGTGAAAGCAGGATTTTAACGACTTGATCCTCCTATGACTTCCTTAGGATCCTGTTCCAATTTTATTTCTAAGAAATCAAATCCTCTAAGCTCCATCTCCCAAGGAGTCAAGAAGGATTGGGGTGATGAGAGTGGCCCAGATAGTCGTGATGTCTCCCTTCATCTGGTGGTTCCATCTTTCTGCTTCTTCTGAATTTCTGCTTTGCTTTTGTCAACAAGTACACAAAACTGTTAGTAGCCTTCTTTGTTACACTGCAGCAATTCCCAAGGGTGGAAAGTAAGCTAAAATGCCCTGGGGGATCTCAGACAGCTTGGAAAGAGTCTTCCTTAGAGATTCAGACAGCTCTCCCCAACTACCCTTTTCCCTCCTTTGAGAATCATTCTCCTGGAGGGTGGAATTATCAGGTTATCAGAGATGGCCCCGAATATGCTCGTTGCTTATAGATAGTTAATGTAACTAATATAGTTAACTTAATAAAATAAATATAATTAAGCCCACAACACTGATGTCTGCAGTGTCTGTTCCACTGAGACCTGGGGTCCTCATCCTTTGAGGGAATAAGGCTTGATAAGTAGACAGGGGATCAGCAAGTTTCCTCATGGTCTGGGGCTGGAAAGTCCTTTTAGAAAATATAAAATGTTGGTGATAATAATAGGGTTTTTCTTTGTAGTGTAGTCAGTCAGTTTCTAGAATTTTACAGAATCAGAATTCTGCCTATTGTTAAATCACATCATTCAACAAAGACAGTTAAAAAAAAAAAGATCTCTGGTTTGCACAGTTTAAAACCTTGCAGCAGTAAGTGCCTTTGTGAAGGAATGTTTTTAAAAGTGAGAGTTAAAAGCTGTTTTCATCTAGTTGGATGATGTTGAAAGCTGCGTTATAAAATTAATGGAGCCAGGCAAATGATTGCCAGATCTCAAGGAAAGATTTTGTCAACCGGGCTTGGTAGATCTATCAAACACAGTGTTGAGATGCACAGTGCATGGGAAACAGTTTGTTATATTTTAACATATTTCATCCTGAGTCTTGCTGAATATAGACCCTTTGCTTTCAGTTCTCTCCGTGGATGAATAATGCACTCAGGCCTTTTACCTCTATGTAGTTGATGTAACACAGCATAGCATTTTAAATACCTGGTGGTGCTGCACATATTGGAAGGCTGAGCAGTTGTTCAACAAAGAATTTGTAGATGAAAACCTTACAGTGCCTCTCTGGGAACTTGCTCCTGATTATAAGACACATGGCATTGGCAAATTGTTCTAGATAATTGCTGAAGGTGAACACGGTTGACAAACCAGAAACTCCACTACTTTTTTATTTGCCTAACCTGGGTTCCACTTTTTTTTGTTCCACAGACACCCTATTTTTGGCCATCAAATTGTTGGGAGCCAGAAAACACAGACTATGGTCAGTGGCATATTTTATCATTTCATTACCGATTGCCAGTCTGTCTGCATGAATGTGTACTTTTGTTTTATTGCCGTTGTCATTGAGAAAAGGAAACCACAATTCTCAGTAGGGGACCGAGATTTTGTTGGTTGGTTGGTTGGTTTTGGCAGCTTGCCGTTACCAGGATGGGAAACCTTAACCTTGGAGCTATCAACTCTGTGGCTCTAACCAAGTGAGCTAAGTATATTTAACATTAAGTTTATGAATGGCCGTGTTTGGAAAGTCACCAAACCTAGCGGAATCTTCTTCTGTGGTATATAGTGCCTTCTGCAACTATTAAAGGAAAACTTCCGAATAGGTTAAAGAGCTACAAACAAGCTTAAAAGGGTTATTGTTTTTTTCATAGCACCTTGTTCTACTAAAAGGAATAACAAAGGGGCCCAGGGAGCCAGAGTTCTAGTTCAACCCTTCCACTTAGCTGTGTGATGTTTGGTGAGTCCCTTGACTTCCCAAGATCGCACTTTTCTCACTAGTATATGAACCATCCTGTGGTTTTTACAGGCAGAGGGTTGTGTTAAACATGGAGAGGCCAATTATGAGCAAAATAAAGGATACAATATGACATTTAATCCTAATAAATCAAGTTCAGTGAACTTAGCATGAACTCAGTTCAACAACCACGATCTCAGTTAAGCTCTTCAAGGAATAAATAAGCCCCTCGTAAGTATTTATCTTCTTACATCTTTCTGAAGGCTACGACTCTCAAAGACAGCATTGCATGGTTTTTAAATGTTGTGTATACAAATACTTATTGAGAATTTTTTCCTGTGCAAATGCTATTGTAGATGCTGGAATAACAAAGGTGACTGAGTTCATCTCCACCACTGGGTAGTTCATGGGCTAAGTGAGAAAACAGAATTACACAAAACAAGTTACCATCGAGTGCTGAGTGAATATAGCAGTGGTCCATGCAAACTTACATAGAAGTTCAAAAGAATGGGAGATGGACTGTACTTGTGGGGTTCCAGAATGATTGTATGAAAGAACTGATAGCATTTCAGGTGGATTGTCGAGTGCTGAGTGAATATAGCAGTGGTCCATGCAAACTTACATAGAAGTTCAAAAGAATGGGAGATTGACTGTACTTGTGGGGTTCCAGAATGATTGTATGAAAGAACTGATAGCATTTCAGGTGGATTTTAAAGGAGGAAGAGATTTTTCAGGTGATAAGAGTGGGCAAGCATTTGTAAGAGGCAGAGGGGCTGACATTACATGCAAAGCAGTGGAAGCTTCATGGGAATGTGGCTTTCTTTGGTACTGCTCCTGGAGAGCAATACATCTTTGTTTGAAAAACCATAGGAAAATCCATAGAAAACCAATGGAACTATTCCTTATGCCTGGCATTTCTGAAACTTGAATAGTAAGCAGTTCATCCCAGAGCGGTCAGGTGCTAGCCAAAGGATTCAAACTAATATGATTCATAGAAGCAATCTAAAAAGCAGGGCACTAATAAGTTAATACAGAGATGAGATGATTTTCCAGGAGTGGGAATGCCAATTTCTTCATCTGGGGCACACATTCCTCAAAATTGAGGTACTTAGAGAAAGAAGTTATTAAAACAAAACAAACAAACAAACAAAAAAAACCCTGCTGATTTGTGGATCTGAGTTGAAGAACTTTCTGGAGCATTTTGTCCAGCCTATGATGATGCCTGGGAACGGTCTCACTAAAGAATGGAACTCTTAGACAGCTGAGAGGGATCTCGTTGAGAAAGACCCAGGTGTTGGAGACAGACAGACCTGACCCCAAATACTGTCACACCACATACCAACTGTTTGATTTTAGGTGAAGTACATTGCATGTCAGAACCTCAGTTTGCACCCTTTTCAAACAGAAGTAGTATTTACTTTCTAAAGTTGCTGAAATCATTTCATAATGCCTAAGAAAACTGGTGTTGTGCCTCTCACATACTTAATAAATTGAAATTATTTGTTTTATTTGGGGGGTTCACCTTCTTTTTTTTTTTTTGTCTTTTGTCTTTTTCCGTGTCCGGCAACGGATCGCAACCCTCAGTGTTGCCCCCGTACCGGACCGGGGACCGGCAACGGGATCGCAACCCTCGGTGTTGCTCCCGCGCCTCGCTCAGCCAGTGAGCGGGAACCGGTCCGTATGTGGGATCCGAACCCTCGGGTGGGAGCGCCGCCACGCTTCCCAAGCGGCGCACTATCCAGTGCAACACCGGGCCGGCCCACCTTCTAACTTTCCTCCCTAGACCTGGAATACCTGCTAAATAGCCTTATTCTTTAATTGTTGTATTTGGGTTTTTTTTCCTGCTGAGGAAGCATAGTCTTGTTTGTGTCTAGTTTGCTGGGATTATATATAAGTGAAAAATAAAATAATTATTCGATAAAAGGTTATGGGGAAAAAATGAGAGAAAGAGGAAAGACAGTGATTTCAGCATGTACCTGTCCTGCAGGCAACAATGCTTCACCTTCTATGATTTTTCTTTTTAGGTGTAAATAAATCGTAGCAACAATCTGAACTTTAAAAGCACACTGTTAAAACCTGGACCCTTGCTTTTAAAGAAGATACTGATGGCATGATGTAGTTGGGCTGTTAGGCCCGTATCACATGGACTACTCAGACTGTTTTTTCTAAGACAACTTGGGGGCAAAAGGGAGGTTATTGCATATAGCAGGTTTGAAGAACATTTTCTGTCCCTCTTTTAGCATCCTGACCTCTGTTTCCATCACCAATTTGAACTTAGAAGGTAGGTTCTGCTGAACATAGACCTCTATAGATCAATTTATATGGAAAAACCCTTCTCTGTGGTTATCTTGGTCTTCTAGAAAAATGGAATGTGTTGATTATGTTCAATGACCAAGATAAGCCAACATGAACAATGAGGTCTACATCACCATGAACTCCATTCTTTGAAAATTAAGTGGGGTGAGATTTCTGATATTTTTCATGCATATACAAAAAATATTCCAACCCAAGTCAGTTAAAATAGTCAGGAATGGGCTTCCCTGGGTGTATTTGCACCGTCAAGTGTGACCCGGAACAAAGGACTGGAGGCCAAGGCAGGAGGAAAGTCAAGAGGACTTTGGTTAGAAGTAGAGACAGCATCTGTGGTAGCTACCTGAAGCAGAAACCAGAGAGGGGGTTTCTATTGGTATCTCTGAGCACACACCTTGCATATTGTGATTTCTAGAAAAGAGCACCCCATGTCTTTAGGATGGCTCCCATCAAGGGTTGCATCTGCAATATACAAATAAAATTTTAACTCCCAGAAACTGAAATACCCAGTTAATACAGGAGCTGCCCTATAATTGTATGACTAACCTCAGTCATCCGACCTAAATTCTAGCCCGGTCTTTATTTAAAATTTTGATATTTCATTCATCTGGACTTTTTCTATTAATTTTTATTTTTTTTCAAATTGCATTAAGGTATTATTTTTCTTGATTACTTTCTTGGCACTTCCTTAAATTTTGCTCCTGAGGCAACTGCCTCACTCAATACATACTAGTAGTAATGCAACTGATATTACATTTGGTTCTTAGGCCATCTGCTATGGGTCAGATGTGTTCCCCAAAGGTTCATGTGTTGGAAACTTAATCCCTGCTGTAACAGTGTTAAGAAGGTGGGAAATGCTATTACAATAATTGAAAGGTGCTGGGCTTTAAACGGTGATTAGATTGTGAGGACTGTGCCCTTGTGAGTGGATTGATCCATTCATGCAGTAATGGGAGTGGTTCTGATGGCTTTCAAAGGAGAGCAAGTGAGAGGTCAGCTCTCCCTTGCTCAGCCCATTCTTACCTTGTGACACCCTGTGTCACTGTAGAGAATCCCTACCAAGAGCAAGGCCCTCGCCAGATGCACCCCCTTGACTGTGGACTCCGCAGCCTCCAAAACGTTAAGAAATAAATTCTATTTCTTTATAAATTACCCAGTTCCTGGTATTCTGTTATAAGCAAAAGAAACAGACTAATACACCATCGTATAGGACATTCATGACAATGTGGGTTGTGTCAACCTTGCAGGGAAACCAGAGACTGAATACCAGGTTTAATGATGACAATCTGAAAGATATAGGAGTATGTAGTCAGGAAAAAAAGAGGATTTAATATGGAAGGGCTGCCATGTATGTGTCAGAGCAGTAGACTTTTCTGCCAAGCATGCCGAAACCAATGCATGATGGTTGTAGAAAGAAGGATTTGTTCTTGATATAAGACCTTCCAACAATGAAAATCATTCAGAACTTTGCATTACCTTGTAGGGCGATGATTTGTGCCTCAGTAAATATTCAATCAAAGGCCTATCTTTTCTACAGGTTGTTGTCAAGGGTTTCAGACTATAGAGAGAGTTTGTACTTGGTGTCCCTGAATAATTAGATAAGATTGAGTTCTACCTGTCAAAACTATGCTAAAATGACATTAAAAGGATATCAAGAATTAATACATTTTATGTAGACGGTAATACAATGCCTGCAAAAAGAAAATATTCTAGTAGGCCAACCACAGCAATTATATGCCAATGTAAAATAATTACAGAAGCTTTGAGATAAATAGTAATTTTTCCTTCCAGGACAGTTATTAAGCTGGTCAGTTACCATTGGTAGAAAGCTTGCTCAATCCAAAGTTCTGTGTTTGGCAGAGGAATAACAAAGGATTTATGATCAATTAAAGAAGTCAGATGCACAATGAATTAATATAAAAGAACTTCAAAATAAACACATAAATGAAATGAAATTAATAGCCTATTTGGCTTTGAGACTGTGTCTTAAATCCTGAATAGGTGACAAAAGAACAGTACCTTAAATATCTGTATACTTCTACATTAATAATTCCATTATGTATAATATTGGAAAACCAAGAATTCAAGATGATGGAAAAATGAAAGATCTTTATTTTTCTAAAAGTAGACATTATTTATTTTTTAACCTAAATCTTTGCAATGCTTTCTGACACATCCATTACCATTAACAAAACTTGTGGGTTTTTTTCCAGATTCAC